TGCCCTCCTGAACCGGCCGGTCCCTTAGGTGCTGCCTGCTTCTTGCCCTGATGGCCCAGGAGATAATTTGGCGCTTTGGAGGAAGTCGAAATCTCAGCCTCAAAACTTGTGCGTTTGGTCAGCGAGCTTCGACCGACTTGTGTGTGCGTGTTTAGGGAGGGGAGAGCTTTTTATTTGTTTTTTTTCTTTTTAGCCTGCTGGGAGGTGCTGCAGAGGAAAGGGAGCTGCAGGTGCTTCGCAGGCAAGCGTTGCTCCGGGCTATGCAGAGCCCGACTGCACCAACCCAGTTCTCTCTTCCTCTGCCCTCCAACACCCCATCACCTCTTCTACATTGCTCTAACCTGAGATGCTACTTTGACACCACGGCAAAGTGCAAGCCTTGAATTGCAGGGGGAACGGTTGCAAAGAGCATCTTTTCCCACCTGCAGCACCTGTTTAGACCAGGGGGAGGTAGCAGATATATTTTCCTTTGGCTGTGTAAAGAAATAAGGTTTCTGTAACTCTTGCACAACCTGTCTCTTCCTTTGCTCCTGCCCACCTGACGCTTGACCTGGCTGGTTTAAACCAGGGCTGGTGGAGGGCTGAGTCGCAAAGATACTGAATTCCCGTGGATTTTGTGGAAGCAGTTGTAGAGGGGAGGAAAGGCTGGACAGGAGGGAAAGCTCCAGCCTGGTTTTTGACTCTTAGCTGTCTCTGGCAAATGCGACCGCAAGACACTGAGGGTGGCCCCGGTGCTGTTGCGCTGCTTGTCTGTGGGTCAGTTAGTCCTGGCAATTGTTCGGTGCTGAAGACCCATCGAGGCTGAGTGCTTTACTGGTTTTGCTTCCGTGTGGCAAGTTGGACTTTTGCTCAGGGCAAACAGAGGTGACTGCACGTGCAGGGTGTCAAGGGAGGTCAGGTCTCCTGGGCAGTTACCTGGGATGTTGGAAAGTTTGATGGATAATGAGAAAAAGCCACAGGAACGGAAGTCGGAGCACAGTGTTTCAGCTGGCTCCTTACATGGGAAGGCCAAGTGAAATACCAGTTTTCTGTCTTGTTCCTGTTCTGGTGGTGGTGAAAAGCTTTATCTGAACAAGGTATTTTGGGGAAGGAGTTTGCATATGGAGATGTTTGATGTTTTCCACTATTTTGGCCGGGTGATGAGTAAAGGATGATCCTGCTCAAGAAACTTCGTGCAGGTAAACGTGCTCAGTGTCGGACATGAACTTGATTTTTTCGAACGTGGACTCCGATAGCTGGTGGTGTCCCTGCACCCCTTAGGCACACAACCCTCTCCTAAAGCAGCCTGGGCATCAGATAGAAAAATGCCATCGCAGGGAGAAAATCCCATGCCCCAATCCTCCGGCTTGCCTTTAAGGACCAGGAGAAGGTACAGAGGGGAGGATGCTGAAGTCTTCAAGCCTCTTCAAAGCCTAGCTGTCAAGCCAAACCTACATATGCGAAACTATTCTCTAGGCATCGACGAGCAGACAAGCAGTGGTATGTTCGGTGCCCTATTTTTCTGTGTCCTGGCTAAGGCTTTGCGCAGGTGGGAAGTGTGGAGGGCTTTTCTGCTGGGAGGGCAAGGCACGCACGCTCCTGCCACTGCGCTCGCGAGGGGGACTGCATCTTGCTGTGCAAATCCAGGAGCAAACTTTCAGCCCTTCGAAGGGAGAAGGCGTCGAGGTCAGGAAGTGCCAAAGCAGAGCTTCACTCCTGATGCTAACGCTGCAGTGCGTTACTTCTTGCATTTATGCATCAGGAAGTTCCCAGAAGAAGACTTTTCCTTATCCCCCAAATGCCAAAGCCAGCCTGGCTTGATTTAAGCGCGCGTGGCAGTGTACAGCCTGCTGCTGTCTTTGCACCATTGGAGCGATAGGCTCTTCGCTGAACAAGTTGTTGGGCTGGTCTGTGCCAAGTCTCGACCACAGGAGGAATTCTACTGGTAGAACTTGCTCCTTGGAGTCAGCACCGGGTCTGCCAGGACTGGCCCCACGCCGTGGGCTGTGGGGCACAAGTATTGAGACAGGACCAAGGTTTCCCTTTGCTATGATAGCACTGCTGGGAATAATTGCTGCCCGGTTGGTATCTCTCACTCTTCATTTTGGATTTTCTCCCGGCATGCCTGTCCTTGGGAACAGCGTGGGGTTGCTCTGGTCCAGTGGTGGGAGCTTGCCAATGACACGTGCGAGCATCTCAGCTGCTTTCACGAGCTTCAGTGGCTGCGATGGCTCTTCTAGCAGGTCCACAGCTCCTCTAGGTTAATGCTCTGGGCTGCTTTTTTATTGTATTGGTTTTGTTTTGGAGGGGGTTGTTGGGTTTTTTTTGTTTAGCTAGGAAGGACTTTAATGCTAATCTGCATCATTATCTCACCCTGGCTGTAAAGCCTGAGAGGAGGCAAGGTACAGGCAGCTTTTACTGCAGCAGGCCTGGGTGAGGCTGCCTGTGGGGGAAAGGGAGCATGGGGCTCAAACACCCTGCCTGTAAGGGCTTCGGGGGGGACAGCAGTGTGGGGTGAAATGTGGGGCAGGCAGAGGGCTCCGGCAGCACAGCACCGTGTCCGGCACCGCCGTCTCACCCACCTCACTGTCCCGGTCTCTGCATAATAACGATGTCCTCTCTCATCCATCCTCTGTCTGCCTGATGCCTCTGTAGCGTAGGTTTGGGTTTTTTCCTCCATTCCCATCCCCCGTGGCCTCCATCCAGCTGCTTTTGGAGGTGGCAGTAGCAGCTGGGGGGGTTGGAGTGCATTTGGCAGCGCTCGGTGATGCCCTTGCCCTAAGCTGGAACGGCAAATTTTTATCTAAATATGAAGCCGTGGCAGTGTGAGGTCAAGAAGGGTTTATTTTTATGAGTGTGTCGGGGTTGCTGGGTGAGGAATGCAGGTTGCCTTGCTCTGCCCCTAAAACAGCTCCTGGGTGCTTCGGCATAGCCCTAAAACCAGCACAAGGTCATGGCTATGTGTTCTCCAGCCCTACTTTTTATTTACTGCCAGGGAGAGGAAATCCAGCCCTTTTCACCCTGCAGGTTAGGAATAGTCTGTCTGTCCTGGTGGGGACCATCCCAAAGCGATGCTACCTAGTCAGAAGGGAGTGACTTGGCACCAGATGTGCTGGGATAGAGCGGGCTGAGGCCGTTTAAATCCGAAACGGCTGGGGCGGAAGTGAAATAGCGATGCCTGTAGTATCAGCTGGGATCTCGAGTGGTGCCCTGGGGTAGAAAGTTGGCCCTGCCAGGGGAGGCTGGTTCCAGCTGGCGTTGGCAGCCCTCCTGCCTGCCAGCTCTCTCCTGCTTCGCCTGGGATGCTTGGAGAGGCGGGCAGGGAGAGCTGGGCTGCTGGTTAAAACTTCCTTCCCCAGGCAGGTGGGTATCTCCAGTGGGAGACGGCCGCTTTGCAGCTCCTTCCAGCTCTGCACCCCCTGCTTGGGTGTTGGAGGAGAGTTTTTCATTGCACTGTCAATCCCTTGCTGCCCGAGCAGCTTTGAGCTGCGAATTCGGCTGCAAGTTCGCTGCTCTGGCTGTTAGAAAGGAAAAGGCTCCAAGTACTTTCCCTGAGAGCACTGAGGTTTTGAAAAGATGCTGATCTCCTTAGTTTTATTCTTCTTTTTGCCTCCTCCCCTTCCAGCCCCTCCCTCCCTCCTCAACCCACAACCTCTTAAAGAGGAAATTTGATAATGTTTACAGTTAAGCGTGGGGATGGGAACTTCTGATAGCCGAGGACTCTGCATTTTCCTGGTTATGTTTTGAGGCGCAATGATGAGAAACTGCAGCCTGGCACCTCCTGGAAAGTGCCCTTTTGCAGATTAACTGCCTGACTTCAGCATCTGGGGGTTCATGAGCCACCTTGGAGCCACGTGGAGGTGATTCCCCAATGGGAGAAACATGTGAGTGGGACAGCAGAGAAGAGATTGGCTTCAAAACTAGGGACAGGGTTCAATTAGCAATTAAGAAGAGTGGAGATAGCAGCATCTTTCTCCGTGTGTGACTACACCCTGCCTGCCAGATCTCAGACCAGGCAGTACCGTCTCCATTTCTGTTCCACGTGTTACAGGTGGAGAAACTGAGGCTGGAGAGGAGTGTGAGAAGGACCCTGTGCCCAGTTTGCCCACCAGCTAGTAGCAGAGGTGGAAAGAGAAGTGCCACATCCAGCACTCCCTTTGCAAGTCTCACTTCTTCCTGCGGGCATCTGCTAGGGAGATGAGATAATTAATGACCATGATTTTTTTTTTTTTTAGCTTGAACTTACGACTTTTATTGGTATTTGCATCTCAAGGAGATGGTTGTGACTTGGTTCTCTGTGTGGTGTCTGTGCACGCAGCATTGTTGCTGGGGTGCTTCTCATCGCTGGGAGCTGGGAGCAGCTACCCAGCAGGACGTGGTCACCGCGCACCCTCCCCACCGGGCTGGGCAGAAGCCAGCAGTGCCGCAGGGTGCAGGTGGCAAAGGGAGAAGGCCAGGGCTGCTGCAAAGCTGGGGAAAGCTCTCCTGTGCATGCTTCCTCCTTCCCGGGGGATGTTTTATTCCAAAGTTGAGACCTGGATGTGCGTCTGGGTGCAATGAGGAGGCCAGGTCCTCTGGGGAGAGCCCAGATCTTGGCCAACCTGGACCAAACAGTCTGAAAATGGGCTCTCTTAACTGCCGCAGGGCTGCAGGTATTGCCTAGGGTCATGCAAAACCATCTCATTGGACATGTAATGGGTAGCTGCTCATGGCTGTCTCTGATTGCATCCCTGTTTTTTTCTTCCCTCTTTGGTTCTTCTGGAGATTGCTGCAGCCAGTGAAATTAGTCGCTGCAGTACGACCGGACCACTGTGCGTAGGCAACATAGCGGAGGAGCAGAAACTTGGGGGTGTGTAGGCAGGTCGCCCTCACCAGCGTTGTGTGAATCTTGAGTGTTTGTCTTTTCAGTGCATGGTGCCATTTGGAGACACAGATGTCCATATGAAACTCCCTGCTCAGAAAGGCCGTTGCATCTTTTCTTCCCCCCACTAACTGTTGTTCTGGTGTCTTGCAGGCACAGAAGAATAAGGCAGGATGGATGTGTATGACCCTCAGACACTGGGTGTTATGGTCTTTGGAGGTTTTATGGTGATATCAGCCATCGGGATCTTCTTGGTGTCCACCTTCTCCATGAAGGAGACGTCTTACGAGGAAGCCTTGGCCAAGCAACGCAAAGAGCTTGAGAAGACCCAGCAGCAGAAAATAGAGAAAAAGAAGAAAGAGAAACCTGTTGAGAAGAAAGGAAAAGCAAAGAAAAAGGAAGAGAAACCTAATGGAAAAATCCCGGAGCAGCAGCTGACTCGGGAAGTGACGGACTCTCCCAAGGATGTGGTTCTTGAGCCTGCTGTGGTGCCTGAGCCTGTAACTGTCGAGACTCCGATCGCAGCGGTGTCAGTGCCCCCCCAGGAAAAGGAGAAACCTGCTCTGTCACCTAAGGAGAAGAGGAAGAAGGAGAAGAAGGTGGCAAAGGTAGAGCCTGCTCCTAGCCCGGTGTTGGCTTCACCTCCTGTCAGTGTCCCCAAAAGTTCTCCCGTCTTGGAGGTGACCCCTAAGGAGGTGCCTGTTGTGGCCGTGCCGCCGGTTGGCACGCAGCAAAGTGCT